TTGATTATGTGTGCATATATGTACACAAACATACATATATCTATGTATGTATGTATTATATATATACACGTAATAGTGCACGTACTCTTATTTGGTGTCTTACTTCAGTCATATTACCCCCACATTTCGCACTGCAGGAGACACTGTGTTTTTAAAGAAAGTCTTTGATACCTGATTTTCATCATCCAATTATCTTTTGTGTTTTTTTTTTAACTTCTTTTTTCTTCAGACTGTGTCAGGGCAATCAGTGTCCCCCCATGACTTCTGTTATGAGGTTGTTTTCACCCTTCTGTGTGTTCTCTGTAATTTCTTGTATCTGTGATATTGGTCACATGCCTCATATTTTACTTCTTTTGTGCATTTACTTAAAAACATGCACATAAGCACTCAACTGCCCAACAAGAGCGATGCCCTCCAGTCTGTACATCAATTATAGTGAAGGTAGTAACCACTGTTTTTGTGCTGTGCTGATAACTGTAAAGAATTGTATTAACGTATGCAGGAGGAATCTATATTCAGATTTCTCCCACAGCTTAGTTCTGCAAAGGTGTTCTTTGGAAATGTCAGGGAGAGAAGAAGGTGGGAGAGGTATCCGAAAGTGCTTCAAAGTGATTGGATAGAAGGAATATCAAGAAAATGGTCTCTTCTATTTCACATTTGCATACGAACACTTGCTTACTTGCAATGGTGTAGCTCTGAATTTAAGTGGGAAGAGATTCAACTTTTTCAGTTTTCTCCAGCAAAAGTACCCACCTTTATACACCCAGCTTTCTCGGTTTGGAATGAAGATGTTGTAAAATTGTGCTAAGCCCAGCAGTTCTTGTGGGAGACGACATATTGTTTTAGCGTAAGTAATAGAATGTTATGCTGGAAGGACATACCTCAGAGCCTTTAATGCCAGATTTTGTCAGTGATTAAAGAATGGAGTATGTGCGTTCTTGAGAGATAAATGAAGAGTCTGGCTGGCCTGTTAATTTTTGTGTGCTCACCTCCCTTGGGGAGGTTGCTGGGTGGAGGGATGGACTACCAAAAGTAAAGGCTGGGAGATCTACATCTGCACCCAGAACTGCACGAGAAGAAACAAAGTTATTGGACAGATATGTGAAGGGGAGACACTGGCTTGGTATTTTTTGGATTCTGTTTGCTTGGAGAAACAGAAAGGTGGACTTTGTCAACTACTAGAGGATGTGTATGTGAAGAATGTGAACCTGGCAGCAGGGGTGGGACTCAGCATTGGGAACTGGGAGGTATAAGAGCCCATTTTTCTCCTGCTTGCAGAACACACGCTGTTACAAAAGTGAAATATAATACTGTTCACTGAAATCCTTGCCTGGGCCTAAGTCATTGGCTTGTGTTTCTCACATTCTCATTTGTCTTTGGGAACTGTTGAATTTTCTAGTCATTCTTGAAATTGTTCATGCACAAACTTCTCAGTGCTTGTTTGGATTCTTAAGCAAATAACTCTTAAACCATTGAAATCAGGAGTGAAATCAACTGTTGAGGACAGGAAAGCATTCCCAACCTGCCAGTTAGCCTGTGGAGCTTTTTATTACCTGTGGTCCATTTTGTCTGACAGCATTTCTGGTTCTCTGCACTGTTGCAGTGGTGTGGAGTTCTGTGCATTCTTAGCCATAGGGGATCCACAAGTAGCATAGCATAAATAATTAAAGCTCTATTTGAAGAGGGAAGTATATATTACAGAATCACAGAATCACAGAATCGTAGGGGTTGGAAGGGACCTCCAGAGTTCATCGAGTCCAACCCCCCTGCCAAAGCAGGATCCCTACACCAGGTCGCACAGGTAGGCGTCCAGGCGGGTCTTCAACATCTCCAGAGAAGGAGACTCCACAACCTCCCTGGGCAGCCTGTTCCAGTGCTCCGTCACCCTCACTGTAAAGAAGTTCTTGCGCACATTGGTGCGGAACTTCCTATGCTCCAGTTTCTGGCCATTTCCCCTTGTCCTGTCTCCGCACACTGCTGAAAACAGTCTGGCCTGGCCACTTTGCCCCCCACACCTTAGATATTTATAGACCTGGATCAGGTCCCCTCTCAGTCTTCTCTTCTCAAGGCTAAACAGACCCAGTTCACTTAGCCTTTCTTCATAGGGGAGATGCTCCAGGCCCTTCACCATTTGTGGCCCTCCGCTGGACTCTTTCCAAGAGATCCCTGACTTTTTTGTACAGGGGAGCCCAGAAACATGACAGAGTACTCCAGATGAGGCCTTACCAGGGCAGAGTAGAGGGGGAGGATCACCTCCCTCGACCTGCTGGCCACGCTCTTTTTAATGCACCCCAGAATGCCATTGGCATTGTTTTCTCTTTTAGCGAGGCAGGAAATTTAAATAAATGTTGAAGAATTTTAATCTGTCTTGGGGAAAGGTGCAAATTAGTAGAACTGCTGATTTATGGAAACAAAGCGTCGTTTCCAGACTGCAGAACAACAAACACTTGTTAAAGCTTATGTTGAGCGCAGGCTTATAATTTTTGTTGCCCAAGAATGGAAACTGGTATCTGAATAAAAGTTTAAGTACATAGTGTGCACAGGGAGTAGCCAGTAGAGAGACATAGACACCAGGGTCAAAGATGATGATTAAGGGTTGTAAAGCTAAGGAAGAAGTTCAAGTGGAAATCCAGAGTACAAGGAAGCAACTGAGAAGAAAGCAGCAAACAGATATTGGCAGCTAGCTTGGCTTGTAGCAAGCCCTGAATTAGAGGAGAGCCTACTAGAGACATTATCCTAACGATGCATAATTTCTTACTGTATTTGTTTGCTGAGTGGTTAAATTGCCAGTTGATAAGTAGTATCTTTTTAATTGCTTCCAGAGGCACTTTTTATTTTAAATAACTTCCCTAATTCTTTCTTTC